ACGATGCTAGGCGCAAAAGTTAGCGATCTCTATGGATCGTTGGCAGGTAACTTTTTTCGCGTGACTTTCGCAGGAAGAGAGAAAAGCGCCGTGCGGGCGAAAGGGCTCTGGAACGAGTCTAAAGGCGAGGCAAAGTATTTCCAGCAAGAAGAACCGCGATTAGAACGATTACGGACTGCGGCGTGCGTGTGGAACGGTTCCATATATCTAGCCAAGCTTTGCGCAACGTGCGCTCGGTCTCGGTCTCAATTAATGCAATTACTCGCTCCCTCGTCTAATTACCTATCAAACGGAATTATTATCACGCGCGCGGTCGTCTCTAATGAACGTTATTAATTGCTTTATGATTTTTTTGATAAAACACGCCGCGTAATCAAGTTATTATCCCACAACGTGCATTTCCATTTTTAAGACACCGCTGCCATCACTGCCGTCGAGTTATTTTTTACTCCTTCTGTAAATACTCGTGAATGTCTCGAACGTTTAAATGTTTTCTCAAGCGCGAAACGTGGAATTCACGAGCAAGCGGACTTGCTTTTGTTCGGAGAAACAAAAAATACGTGAGATAAAATCTCTCTCACAACAAAAAGCGGTTATTAGAAATTATGGGATTAGGATTAATTAGGATTCGGTTCACTTCCGCTTCAAACCTTTGAAATCTCGATAATATGCATCGCGTAAAATAAATCGTTAAAATGTAATCGACGCAGTTTCAAGGAAGTGATGATAACTTAAGCAACGGTTAGGGACGCTTCTTCGTGGTAGCGAGCAGCAGGTGATATCGAACTGAAGAGCCGTAAAATTCCGTGAGCGAGACGAGGGTGACGCTGGCTAAATAAGAGCCGGGGATGTCCCGTCACGGCGCTTTTAAGGCACGACCGCTTCCCCTAATTTCTTATCTGCCGGGGCCAATTTGATAGATCGACGATATAGAAAGTAGCCTTCTATAAAACGGGGCAGCCTGCGCGCCACGGCGGACAGGTGCACCGTGTCAGGATGCACATCCAGCAAGGAGAGTGAGACCGACGCACCTGACCAACGACGCGGCTATAAGCAATGCGGATTATACCTCGGTGTCTCTACCAGCCAGTGCGCGACTCTCCTCGCGTAAAAGCGCGAGATACTTTCACGAATTATGAGATAATCAAAGCTTCGCGCATGATGCACCGCGCATTATTGCGCGCCGTGTATATACATATGTACCCGCATGAAATCGAGATTGCGACGATTATTGACTGCACGCGCAGAAAAAGCAAGTTAATTATACCGTCGTTACCGTGTTTATCGTAATCCTTATCCTTCTCACCATCATCAATGTCGGAATTATCGATGCTATGTGAATTTACGATAATGAGAATGGTACGTGTCTCTGCAAATCGAACTGATTTTATGTGATTTTAATAGCCGAGTACACGCTATTAGAATGCCAACGCGCAATACATATCGTAATAGAGATTTGATATCATCATTTTTTTTATGGGTTTTATTGTTTGATAGTAATTTTTTTATCGTCAATTTCTTTAAACCCAATTTAAAGCTAATTTCTTTGTTTTTCACTCATTAATATTGGAAAAACGATTAAAATTCGATAGCAGTAAGATTTCTTAACATATTGTTTTCTTTTCATGTATCTACAATTGTGTATGTATAAAATATAAGGCGCGTTCAGCAGACTCAACAGTTGAGTGAACGCTCGTTACTATTTATGTATTCTTCTAGTCTAATGAAGGTCTGCTTGGATGATCTACAATAGAACTGCTTGGATGATCTAGAATACACACTCTAAAAAATATCGGTATGAATTTAAGACCTTACGGTGTCTACATATAATTCTCACTATTAATATTAATACCAATCGTGATGTAGTTTAAACTATTGGTTTTAAATCCACACTATGATGATATTGATATAAACACTAGTGCGGTGAGAATTATACAGACACCGCATAGTGTTAAATCCACACCGATATTTTTTAAAATGCACTAATAACAGCAAGTACTCACTCAACTGTCGAGTCCGCTGACTATTGTTATACATATTACAGTCTTTATTAATAATCTCAAAGAACGTTTTCGGCGTTTGGTGTACTTTGAAATGATGCTTCGGCCGAGTTGCCATAAAGCTGTTCGGTTTAATACGTGTTGCACGACGCAATGGTTTTTGAGCGAGCGTGACTTCTACGTTCCCACGAGACGTAGACTCGACTTTTGTCCCATGATCGAGCAAAGTGAACGAGCTAGTGAGCATCCTCCGACGAGTCGACGAGCCCGGACGTTCGCGCACGCACTCATGACGGACGGACGACACAGGCACGTACGCTACACACAGAACGTCCACGTGTATGGTACAGTCCCAACCGCGAATAAGCCTTCATTTTTTTTATAAGAATGGTAGCGAACAAATTTTTATATACAGAGAGGTTTTTTAAATTTTTTAGCCGAGAATTTATAACAAAAACATATTCAGGAAAGACGTAATGGAATAAATTAGACTATAGCAAAATGGAAGAACTGCAATAGCGATATCTCTCTCATTATGGTTACAAATGAGAGAGCCACAACACGACGTGGTTTCTGTCAAAAAGATTTAGTGGCAGTAGCATTAGGACGGCCTTGTTCCAATTTCGCAAAAATTGAAGTTCGTAAAGATCACAGGACGTTTCGTGGCAGGCTGTGTTTTTGGCCAAGTGCTTATCCAATATTTCCGTGATTTAAAGCGAGATTGGAGCTTCGAACGGCCACGCGAGACACAAGAGTCTCGGGACTATTTGTGGTAGCGACTGTATGCACACGTGATAATACACACGCGAGCACACAAAAGGTTCGGCCTTAGTACGGCGGTACGTGATACCAGTTCCTACGTGGGTGCTGGACATTTTACGACTTTCGGTGGACTCGGAAAGAGGGATGTCTTTTTTATAGAAGAGGTAGTGAATTTCTCGTTTGATTCTGTGATAAGTATCTCATCTGCGTGCTCCGGCGAGTTTCATGAAATATTCGTCTGGCACGTTTCCGTGATGGTTATACCGTGCCGCGCTTGAGAAAGAGGCGGCCAGACGCGTAATTAAGACGCGTGTGCGTTAATATTATATTAAATACTCGTTATTTGTTATCTCAATGGGAAAAGCGTGAAAGAAACGAGATACTTTCTTTTCTTTTCCTACAATTGTAAATCATTCTTGTTTGGAGCCAATTAAAGGAGGCGCGGCTCTTAGATTTTAGCGGTGCGTAACCGGAACGTTACGCGTGTAACATATGCGCCATTAAATTAGAGAAGAAATCGGGAGATAATTATTAGCACACGGAAGGATAGCTGATATAATCGTAGGAGAGTCTCTGGACTGACGCAGACTGAGAAATGTTGTTTTGTTGCCGTGTGTACGGTGCTTTACGATGTGTATCGATCTGCATTATATTTGTTCACCGCGATTGCGACTAGACTGAGAAATTATTCGGGCTCTCCCCTTATCCCTAAATTAATTAACGTATTTAATTAATAAAGCCAATCTCTCTCTCTCTCTCACGATTGCTTTGTCAACGCGTATAACTTATTTATTAAAATGAGTATAGGATATATCAGATGCTCCTATGCGTTTTCTCTCGGATACGGAATACAGAATTTGTAGCTAAGAGAAAATTACCAATTTCTATATATTACCGATAAAAAGCAATAAACGTATAAATTTGCATCGCCAAATTATTTCTTTTAACGTGAACGCTTAGCTGCGAGCAAATTTGAGACGATGAACACCGCCGAGAGATAATATTTATAAACCATTTGTGTAGATCGACCGAACTTTTTTCTTGATTTTACTGTTTTCCCTATATTATTACATAGAATTAGACTCTTCTCTTTCATAATAATATCGGTGCACAGTATCATCGATTTTTGTCGTTCCCTTTATTCCGACGGCTAGTTTCAACACTTTTGGGGTCTCGTCTCTTCCGCTCGTTAACTGGAAAGAGTCGGGGCTTATGGTAATTTAAAGTAGTCATCCCCAGTCGATTCTTTCCTAAAGCTATTAGGCGATCATCTCGGATTATCCTACGATTCCGGGTTTACTCGGAACTCGACTTTTCTAAGTTTTCGCCCTTTCGCGTGTTCGCAATACATTCAGCCGTGTATGCTTGCCTTTCTCGTAGATCCGTTAGGATTAGCAGCCGGATATATCTATACTTCGAATAAAAAAAACTTAATTCTATCAAACAAACGAAAACTGTAGACATGCTTCTCGAACGTTTCTCATGAGAAACAACGTCGGGACCATCGGAGAAATGTTATTCTTGCCAGTGCCAATTACCGGCGTAACGATTATCAGATCTCACCGGATCGGTAATTATGTATTACGTCGGTACAATGTTGAGCTTATTATAACCTCGTCTTATCTCTTGTGATTGTATTAGTTAGGAAATAATTTTTTTCTCCGCGTGCCGTTGCGAATAACTGTACCGGCCCCGGGGTCGTTACCACATTATCATTACTTACGTCTTTGTTATCGAGAAAATGCGACCTGCTCTCGCGCGCGGCAACCTTACAATTAGATTCTCAGGGTGTTATGAGGGCACCGCTATTGCTGTGTCTCGCTGCGCCGATGTGCGTGCATGCACATGACCTGGGCGAGAAAGATAATCGAAAGAAAATACAGTTAAAACTATCAATGTATACGCGCCCTAAGTGGCCGTAAATTATAATTACCGCAAAATCCCATGGCGCCGCGATGGCGATAAGTCATATTAATTGCCATTAAACAGAGTAGCGTTGCATGACTCCGTTCATTTTGACGAGGCACCTCTTTTGGAATAAAATAAGGTACCTCAGAGAGAAAAGTCGAGGATGCTAAAAATAGACGCAGAACGAGTGGAAGGAGATTGGACTTTTTTTTTCATGTCGAAAATTAGCGACAGGTTTGACGGAGAGTCGTCACGCTAACTCCGCACTGCCTGTTGTCGCGATTTTTATAAATCGCTTATGACGCGGTCACGTGAGACAGACTTACGTACCTGCGCGAACGATATCGCGGACAAGAAGGTGGTAGCAGTTTCCAACGAGGCGCCCTACGGGGAGTTCCCGACAGCACGGCGGAATAACTTTGCGGTTGATTTATACTTCCGACAGACGTAACGAGCTTGCGGTCAGACCGCGGCGTCACGCGTACATCGCCTGCACAAAAAAAGAAATAATGAAAAGGATAAATCAATAAGAATATCGCGTTTTGTTTCTCGTTGCGCAAATAAACCGTATACCTGCATCTACGCTCAGTTTCCGCCCTCAAATTGAAGACTTGACATAAATAAGATTACATGCGCGATGCTATGGAAATTGTCTTTTCGGCTCGAAGGCTGCATGTGCGAAGATTGGAAATATGTTAAAACGCTATAAATGATCGCTTACTTATAATGTATCAAAAGCATAAAGAGAATTTTACGAAACATACATATTATATGAATAATTTGAGATTTTTATCCCTGGCTTTTTTTTATTTACGTCTCGTTTTCAATGCATAAAATTATACGGAAAGTATGATTTTGCAGAAAATCTAAAAATTTAACTAAATATAAATAAAAAATAATTTTATTGATTAACCATCGAAATAGTTATGTAAGATGCTGAAGTTGATTGTTAAAATGTTAAAATTTTTTGCTACATTGTTCATCATGCTTGAGTTTTCTACATAATTATTTTGATGATTCGACAAAATCACTTTCAGGTCTATATCTAGAATTTTTTAAATAGTAAAATTCTCCTTTCTATATATTATCTCTATTTATATAAATGATAAAGAATCAAGAACAAAAAATGTTGACGTGTGTGTTTCTTATATTAGATATTTATGAGTTCATATGTTTTTAATACGAAACGCGTAAGTTTAAAGGAAAAAGGGAAGATCGCTTTCTGACATCTCTTTTACCTCCGTCGGTTTCTTTGTCACGTTTCACAAAACAACTTTAGGTCCACTGTTAGAAGATGTTTAACGAGATAGTAGATTCGGACAAGATGCTTGACTCGTTGACTATCAATGACTCGGATACGCAGTTATGCTTCAAATATAACTTACACAAAACATTTATATTTACATTTTTAGTGCTAAATATGCAAAATATTTAATATTTAAAAACGAGAGGTAAGTATGTTCTCGCTAAATATTAACTTTTTGTAGAATCTTTAGCGTTAAACAGAACATTATTAATGATGAAGGTAGGAACCACTAAGTTTACCCAAAAAAAAAAATCTGAATAATATCAAAGTTTAATTAAACAAAAGAGATTAAATCTCCTTAGTTTCATTAACATTGAAAACACCAAAAATTAATAGGAGAAATTACGAAGAATAAAATATAGATAACGTCGCGCGACGTCGAGACAGCGTTCTGCAGCGGACAATTTCGAGAGGACGGAAGAAGAAGAAACAGTGAATGAAAAGGCCAACTCGAAGATTTGTGGAGCCACCGGTTTTCGTCTCGTAGTCGTCTTCGTGGCTGACGTATATGTTATTCGAAGAAGAGTCTTCCTCCCGTGAGGATACGGCGAAGGGGCGACGAAGAGGAGGACAGCAGTGTACGCTCGCAGAATACCTAACGACTTTGGGAGTTTTGGGACATCAAGGAGGGACCATGAGGCTTGTCGTAGAGGTCCCAAAAGTTTGCAGCACGGTGAAAAGAAGCCGAGAGAAGGCCGAACGAGACTCGTCGCGCGCACAGCGTTTTTTGCGTTTAACCTCCTCCTGTCTCGCCTTTTATTTGGGCCAGACGGGAATTCGGCTAAATGCATTGATTAAACTGCTGACATCGTTCGGGCGACTCGGTGGCCACCGTGTCTCCGCAGGTCCGAGCGCTGGCCCTTTTTTGCCGTACCGTCCGTCCTCCCTTTCATTTTTGTCCCGTCACTTCGGACCGCGAATCGTAACTCGTACTTCATGTTCGACAATCGATGTTTCGTGCGATCGGCGGCCAGTGATGATCGGATTGTTGGTCAAGAATTTAGCGAGGTGAAATTTGACGTTGTTTAACGAATGCTTCGGAAGATCTAATCACGATAGAATTCCGTTGCAATTATCCCACTCATCACATTGAGAGAATGGCACACTTGATGATGGTTAAATTAAGATCGATTTCATAGTTCACAGATGAAAGGTGATGAAGCAAAGTGAAAGAAAAGATGGAGGTATTCAATTCAGAATATAAATATTAATTAAAGTTGGGTATAATCGTAAATTATAGTTGGGAAAGATAATATCTATCATGTAGATAAAAAAATCTAGCGCTTTTCCTTTTAATTTCCTTTTAATTATTCGATTAACGTGGATATGTACTATCGATTCTATAATATCTTAATAAACGCGATAGCTGGCGTGTCGTTAATATTCTGTAATATGGCATAAATATACGGGAGATGTGGAAAGAACTCGGGTAATACACGGCTCGAGATTAAATTGACAGGCAGTCTTGTCGCGTGTATTTTGTAACGAGGTGAGAGAGAGTGATTGTATAGTATATTAGAATAGCATACACACACACTCACACGCACACGCATACACACACACACACACACACACACGTGCAGATAGAATAATTACATGGACAATATATAAGTGTCAAATATAATAAGTTATTTGCAGAAATTAGTATTCCCTCGATGTGCAAAGTACTTAATCTATCTATTTTTCCCGGTTTAAGAGAAAAATTTAATCGACCAGATTGAATGATTATAGAGGCGTTTTTCCCTTTGGTTTTTACGGAACTACTCTGTCTTTTTAATTAGCCTGGACTTCACCACGATATGAAAAACGCGCCACGGATGGTATAAAATGCAGAAACGAATGCGTCTTTTCGCAGGTCGTTCGACGGACGAGGTAAGTTTGGCATGCATCGCTCGCTCCTTCGAACAGCAAAGAGCCATCTATGGAATTACCCTGATGATTAATGGTACGGCGCTGGCTCGGGGCAACCCTTCCACCTTGTTTTCCAATTCTCCTCTGCCCCTCTGCTTCTCTCTCTTCTTTCCCTGTGTGTGCCCCACCGCCTACATCCATCGCGGCCTCCGTCAACGTGCTACCGGCCCATCTTGGGCCCAACGGCTCCGGGGGCTTTGGAACTCGCGGTACACGAGCCGGCCGACGAACTGTTCGGTTACCATATAAAAAAGCGTACAATGTTAAACCCGCATTGCCCCTGCCAACCATATCTCATCCGCTCGTTCGTTCGTCTGTCTGTCTATGTTCCTCTCTTCATCCTGTCTTCTCCATTTAATCTAGATTAAATATTTAGATTACTTTGCGTATCTCACAATCGCGAACTTTATTAAGATCCAGCTTTGGCTTTCCGTTTTTGTAGACTTAGTCGATGTATTGCTTGCGGGTAGTTAACGCTATTTGTAAATTGCTCGCAGAGATGTTTCCATTTCTCGTTTAAATTTCCAATAATTCAATGCAAGAGCATGACGTATACACGACTTCTACTTTGCTTCTTCCTTGACTCTCATATTTTATTTTATATTTATTACTGAACACATAGTCAAAAAATATCTGTATTTTTTATAACAAATCAAATTAACCAAGATTCCTTATAAATCAAAAGAACCAAGAAAGGAGTCAAACGCGGAAGACGTTGCGCAAATAATACGACTATAAAGCGTAAAACTTTTTTATTTTACTAAGCGCGTTTAGTAAAATAAAGAAGTTTTACGCTTTATATATAGTCGTATTATTTGCGCAACGTCTTCCGCGCTTGACTCCTATTGCCCATGTTCTTTCTTAGTTCTTTTGTATTTTTTATATTACTTGGACATACGTTCTATTTCACATCTGTATATGTAATTTTATAGTTTTACATGCGACTTTAAAGTCTTTGAGAATAGATTTTCAACTTACATTGAATAGATCATACATATATTAGGACTTTCGCAAGGTCTAGAGCAACCATTTCTACGAAAAATTGTTTTATCTGAGAAATGAAATCGTTAACGGCGCGAACGCATTAGTCTGTCTTTCGCGAAGGCGTAATCGCTATCCACGAGCCAGAAAAAAAGGAAACTACAGGACGAAACTACAGGTACTATAGGTACAGGTACGAAGGACAGGAAGGGGAGAGGATACGGCGATATGACCCAGGGGCAAGTCGAGCGGCGTGTAAGAATCGGCTGGCGAAGAAGGAAGAGATATAACGAATTCGGGATTGCATGTCGGAGAACAGTAAGACCTCCCAAACAACCCCGACGGGGGCATCTTCCCTGGGAATAGCAGTGATTCCGGGGAAATGTGCAATATCTTCCGTGATCGGGTATTATTACGTCGTGATTACGGGTTTTGATCTAGGCTAGAAGCGTCCAGAGACCTTCCCCTCTCACCACATCACCCCTCTCTTCTCTCTTTCTTCCCCTCGGCACTCTGTGCACTGTCTCGCTGCCTGTATTCATGGCGATGCAGCGTCGATGATGCGGCTAAGAACAAGTCGAGGGAACGGCACCGAGTTCGGGAAGGGAGACGTATTGTCCTCGGCGACTGGTCGCCATCGTCGTCGTCACGTCGTCATGCGATTCGTGACGGCCGCCGCGAATCGCCGTGGGAAGCCACCTTAGCTTCCATTTCGCTTTCTCTCCTCCTTCCCTCCCCTTTTTCTATTCCGGCGCGTTCTCCGTGTCTTCCTCTCGATTACGGGCAACGGGGTAATGAACGACCTATGCCGCAATGCCGTTGCCCGTTTGCCGGTTGCTCTTTCATCTCCTCCCTCGCGATAGTCCTGCCACGAAAACGGTCGACGATTCCTGTTAGTCCGTTACCTATGAGATCCGATCAGATCTAACTGTTTCGGATCGGAACAGCGGCACGATCGAGACATGCTCCAACTAGTGCCGCTTCATAATTGGAGTATGAACCGCATGTATTCCTCGTATCCGGCTCGCTGCTTCTTGAAAGGTATCCTTTCAGGACGTGGGATTTGTTCTATTAATGTTCCAAATATGAAATTATTCTTCTATAAAAATACACACGTCTCTTGTAGTGCAAGAAGGCTATTTTTTATCTCAATGTGTTTTTTTCTTTGTAATAAATAATTTGAGGTAAAGTAGAATATAAAAGATTTAGTAAAAGATAGGAGATGTACTTCTTCAATTTATTATTTTTCATATAATATACAATTCAGAAACGAACGGTTTTATATATATTTA